AGAGGAGATCAGGCTGGCTGATCCTGTCTGACATGAGGATTAGTGAGTCTGCGTGGAAGACAACAGGCGTCTTTGCAATGACTCCAACAGGGCTTGGAGTGAGCTCCAAGTGGGCAGGTGTCCATTTTCAGTAAGAATCGTGTCAAAACTAGCAGTGACTGGCAAAGTGACAGCATTGGACAGGAGCAGCTGAAACCTGAGCTGCCTGCTGCATTCCTAGTATGATTTTCAAGGTGGACCAATCAGAAAATACACCTTCCTGCAAAACGTGTTACTGCTCTGCCATCCTAAATCATCCTAATTTGAATTAAAAAGTAAAATAAACCCCCAAATTAATGTAACAGCCCACTAGATTTGGTCAGTCAGGTTGCTATGTTCTAGTAAATTAGAAACTCTTAGGTTTATTTTTGTGATTTTGTTTTGCAAGGATTAACATGGCAGTTTCTCTAGCAAATAAATAGGTGTTGCAATACTGGTGGGAGGCATGGCACTGGAAGGGACCCTCTTGTCAAAAAATTACCATAATTTGTCATTTCAGTCAGATAAACCAAACAAAGTACCAAGGCTTCTGGGTGGCAGTTAAGAATTACCAACAACAAAACTTTGTCTTTTTCTCCTTTTTTTTTTTTTCTTTTTTTAAGATTTTGGAATGAAGATTTGCTGGCGAGTGCGCGCGTGTGTGTGATTTCAGTGCCGTGCTGAATTGGGGCCTTTCAGGTGGACTTACTGTATGCTAGTAAATAAGACATACCTTAAAAATAGAAAGCATTGTTGTAATTGACAAAAATTTGCAAGGAGGATGTGGTCAGATGCAGTTTTGGAACTGCTTTTAATTTTTTTCAACTCAATTCTAAGTCAAACATCCCTTTAAATTAATTAGAGCAGTCAAGAGTATTTTTAGAATATCAGTGGAGAAATTGAAGCCATGAGTATAATCTTAATATTTCCTAAACTCTGAAAAGAGACTAAAAAAGACAGCTTCAGGAAGTTTCTGCGTATGATGAAAAACAAATTCCTGACCAAACTGGCTAAGCTGAAATGTCTGAAAGCAAAGAGCTATCATAAAAATGCTGGAAAGCTTCTGATTATAATGGAATCAGTGTCCTAGGGTATAATGCAGCTCTACATTTCATACCGAGTTCCTGAACCATACTTCTCAGCCTAGCTCAACTTGCTGGGTTCTCATCAAAGTCCTAATGACACTGTGCTCTGTTTAGATGCCAAGCAAGTCTTGAAATAGCTCCAGAGATTTTTCAGCAGCTTCAGCTGAGTACAGACGTTTGACTTTAGAAAGACAGCTAGCACCTAGAGTTTGTGGCATATGAATCCTTCCTTATGTATACTGCCATACTTGTTAATAATCTTATGAACTTTTATAAACCTAATTAAAAGCCTCTTACACACTTATGTATGAAATCATGACAACAGCACTGAACCAGCAAAGCAAAAGCCTGTCCTTTGTGCTGCAAATCCATGTTGCCTTTCTTTGTTAATGACACATACACAACACATGTAATTCAATGCCTGCTATTGTTTGTCTGTTTGTTTTTATTATGATATTGACTGGAGTCCCCATCAGCTTAGTTATAGTCTGTGCACATTACTCTACGCAGGGTTTTCCTTTCTGTATGTTGTTTAAGGTATTGCCTTTGCCAAAGCGAAGAAAAAAGTGTGTGCACTTAAGCACACAAGTAGTTATATCAATTTCTGCCTATTAAGTGTACATACACACATAAATATACTCGTATATAGTGGTCGCAGGCTGTTGCAGGCATGGAATTAGGGGAGATTTGAAAGCTGTGTTTGACGGCATGTTTCCAACATGGAGGTCCTGTTTCTGGGAGCAGCTCTGGGCAGGAGCATCCCTCAGCTTGTGTGAAGTCCGGCGGAGGATGATGGGGCTCTGTGTGAGTGTTGAAACAACACTTTTCAAAGGTATTTGCAGATTTCTAAGGCATTTATTTAAATACCTTATAATGAACTTTATTTTCTAAAAGAGCATACTTTTAAATCTTTTTATCTTTCTAAAAATGTCTTTGTTCTATTAATCTTTTGGACTTCGAAAAACTGTTTCTAGTTATTGGGGTTTGGTTTTTTTTGCCTTTATGATCCAGGCAATCAATTCCTGAGTATGAGCAGGAGGGTTATTGAGTTATTATCTAAAGCAAGCAAAGATTTCAGCTACCCAAAGATGAAGCAAACATTTGCTAAAGGTTTTGATACCAGTTTTGATCAAAGTCTGGGATATATAGCATGTATGATTCCAGCACTTCCAAGTGAAACTTGAAGTCGAATCTTTGCAAATGTTCAGTGAATGATTTAGTTTAGAAGTACAACCGTGGGTATTAATAGATATGTGCTTTGTCTTTATTTACTCTTCCAAACCTGCCCCCCATTTCTACCATCTGTTCCTGTTTGATGGTGAACTCTTCCAGAGGTGTCTCTCTTACCCCATGTTGTGTCCCAGTCTCACCCTGAAATATCCTGTACAACAGAGTTACTTGCAGACAGACAATCTTATCTGAACAGTGGCATTGCCCCAGTGGATTCTCCTCATGTCCTGCAGAGGGCTTTGACCTGCTCTCCACTTTGAGTTGTGCAAAGTCATCCTTTTGTGCATCTCTAATACTTCCTGTGTATTTCTGCTCAAGTTTAATAAAAGTGGAAAGAAAGTCTACCTCTTTATTTTCTAGTTTTCCAACCAGCATCTGTTATAAACTCAGTTAAATTGAAACAGAAATGTGGTTAAAATGAATAAGATGAAACAGAATTTGTTTTCCAAAGTTTTTCTTGGGTACCAGCATCTCATACTAAAGCATCCACTGTATGAGAAATTCAGAACAATTAAAAATTGATAATTTCTAATGTCTTTTTTTTTAATTTTTACCTTTCAGTCTATCCGAGAAGTCACAGGCTATGTTTTGGTGGCTTTGAATCAATTTGAATACCTGCCATTGGAGAACCTGCGCATCGTTCGTGGGACCAAACTCTATGAAGAGCGATATGCTTTGGCAATATTTCTTAACTACAGAAAGGATGGTAACTTTGGACTCAGGGAACTTGGCTTGAGGAACTTGACAGGTAAGTAAGTGGAATTCACAAACGTTATGGATTAATTGCCAGAAAAAAATGAGCTTGTTGAGTATTTGCCCCAGTGCTGTCAGTCACTTGCATTCTGCAAATAACAGGTGTACCACGAGAAGCTGGCAATTGTACATCAAGAGGCTTGTTGGTACTTCATTCCTTTTTTGGTTTACAACTATACTTTTCTCAGTACTGATCAAAGGCTGTATATGGAATTCATTCCAAGAGCATACTCAAAACAAAAATGGTTTTTGGAAGGGTAGATGAACTTTTTTCTTAGTTGCAAGAACACGAGCATGTTGGTTTCTTTGTGATCCTTGCTTATTGCACTTGTGTTGCTTCAGGTGTCATGTATTATCTGCTTAGCTTTAGCATCCCCTCTGCTCTTGCTGTTGTGTGTGTCACCATTGCTGCTGCACTGGGGAGGTGGGGGGAGAGAAAGAAGATGGGAGAGGGAGGCTGTATCTTTGGTTTATTTAATTTTAGAGCTCCTTTTTCAAAGCAAAAATAGTGTATTATATGTTGTGAGAAAAGTGATTATTTTCTTGAGGCAAAAATTTAAGCCAAGTCCATGATTTTATGTTCATCTGTAAATTCAGGGTTGGATCATGATGCGGGGTGGATCAACATTTCGTTTCTCCCAGCTGAGGATCTACAGTCAGGGGTTTGGGAGATTAAAAATTGGCTAAATATCACTGCACTGTAACTTAATAAAGTGCAGGCAGTGGCAAACTCTTTTTAAGGAGTTTGCTGGAAGTATTTTATTTATACTGGTTCCTCATCAGCTATGATCATTTCTACCCTAAGCTTTGGTGGTTGTGAAATGGCCTTATTTCTGCTAGTGGCTAAATGCTGACTGAAAATCACTGACCTGAGCTGGATGTGGAGTTCGAACCCAAGTACAGAAAGGTGGGAGCCTTACTGAACTATATTTAGTCACTCTTTACTCTCTGCTTTTTTCATGTCGCAGTATTCAGAGTGGCACACAAGTGCTTGCATTTTCTTGTTGTTCAAGCCTCACTGGGCCATACGGCGAAGCTTTCAAAAACAGCATGGAAAAGGAGGCTTGAAATATTTTAAATAGTTTTGGCTGACTCTTCCTGATCAGGCTCTTTCTTCTGGTCATGTTTTTTAACAATTTTCTTTACTGAGACCATGCTGCTGATATCGGAGTGCTTCCCAAGGTCTCTAAAACCCTGCCATCTACTACTCTTCTCTCTATCCCTGTCGTAATCCAATTTCCTCCTCTTCTGTTCCCACGTTTCTTCTCATCTTTCTGATTTAGGGTGATCGTTATGGCTGTCCATGCCTTCACATAATACAGAGCTGTAGCATCAGGTAATAGTAATGTTATCTGTTTCTTCATATACTTTTTCTAGTCTTTGGGTCTCAAAATGCTTTGTAAAAGACATTAGGCTGGGTGAAAGTGAAACAGGTGATGTGAGGCCAAGGCCAGAGGAGGACTGGAACCCTTTCCTCATGGGTCTGAGGCCACTGTTTTGGCAGGAAGTGAGGCTTGTATTTTCAGTGCCTGTTTAGCCATTGCTTTGCTGCTCAGTAAGGTAAAAAACCTTATCTTGTAGGCTCTGGCTCAAGATTTTCTTCTTGAACCAGCTGCCCTGTGCCAATAGGCAGTTCGTCTGACTCCAGTGATTCTGTCTGGAAGCTGCTTTTATCTGATAGGCACCAAAACCCCAGCAAATAGATTGACTTTCTTCTCAAGTGTCATAAGAAAACCTGCCGTAGCTCACCCTCTGTATCTTTCCTAACATGAGATCATCACAGCCACTTCATCTGATTTAGGTGTTTATAAAGGCTTATAAAGGATTATTTGGCTCAAAATGTATTGTTGTCTCTTGGAAGAAAAGTGCCCTAATAACACTAGCTTGTCTCCACTGAGCACTTAAAATAGCTTCTGGGTGCTGAATATGAGCCAGGACATGCTTCAAAATACTCTTTTAATACTTTCTCAATAGCCTGTGCCATGGCCTCATGAGTCTCTTCAGCAGCTGTTCTTTGACCATTTTGTATGCTGGTTAAAATGCACCTGGCTATTTTAACCCACAACCTGCTTGTTGTTGCAAATGCTCTCCCTGGAGCATATTAATACTAAATTTATTTTCCTAACACATCCTTAGCATTAGTAGCTACGTAAAAATAACTGGTGGATGTGGGAGCCAGTGATGTTGCAAGGCTGCAGTGGATCAGCTGTGTCTGAACCTATCCTGTGTCTACCAACTGCTCCATATTTACATCAGAAATAACTAGTGATTTGTTATTAAATTTGAGATGAAGCAGCCCCTGTGAGCTTGCAACCTTCAAGCTTCTAGTCCACTGCAGATTTAAAGAGATTGGCTTTGAGTGGTGCATCCCTTCCACTTGAGTAAAATATAAACATAACTCCTGCCCTATACGTAAAGAACTGTCTTTCCAGGGCTTATGCCTTGTTCACACAAGTTTGGGAAGTTTTGTTCTTATTTGTGCTGTTTCCTGATGATGCGATCCTGAGGGTATTTCTGCCCAGTACGGCACAACATACAAATACAAACACTAATCCCTGTGTAAAATAAATGAGGAAGCTGCTCTCAGATTATCTTCAGGCTTAAGCAGAGCCAGGTTTTCAGCCTCCTGTGCAAGTACCATTGCATTATTTTCAGTGTGGTGTTAACAGCTGTGTTTTTATTGCTAGGTATGTCTATCAGGTTTTCATATTTAAATGCTTGAATTTCCTCTCTTAACGCTATAAAATATGACAGCTATGACAGCAGTAAGTTTATTCTCACACAGAAAACATGATCCAGTCCTCACTCATGATGGCTGTCAACCTGAAAGGGAGGGTTTTTTGGGTAGTGCAGGCCAGGACCATGTCCTAAAATTCATTTGACACTTGCAAAAACTCTTACCTATAAAAATCCTTTTTTCACTCATTATAAAAACTTAGTCCGTTGTTCCACGGAAGTGTCAAAACCAAACAGGCATTGAAGTAATGACGTGGCTGCTGCCATCTCAGCTGGATTCATCTCAGCTTGCAGATTCAGCTGCCAGGTAGCCTTAGAGTAAAAAGAAAGGTCTGACATACCGAACGTATTATTCAGCCTGAGATTAGCAGAATAACCGATGTTGAGGGAGAAGATATGCCACCTTCTTCCATTCACTGCCTGTAAGCTAGTGCAAATCATTCCTGTCTTCCCCATGTAGCTAGGCAGTCAACCTTAACTTATCCAATGGAAAGGCATAATCATTGTTCACACTTTGAGTACTCCAAATATAGAGAATAGCTGATGGCTGCCTTTCATTACAGCATTTGTCTTCATGAGTGGGGAAGAGGGATAACTCACAAATGCCAAAACCACTTACAAAAAGCCCATATTTTCCTCTGAATGAAGATGAATAAGAGAGATCTACAGAAAATTATGTGTCTTTGAGCAGTGATAACCTCACCTGCCCTGTTGGCCTCAGGTACAGAGGCTTCCCTGTGTGTCCCTGTGCAACCATTGAATTCCTTTAATACATTAGAATAAAATACCTAGTTTCGTATCTGCTTGTTTTGCAGGAATGCAGATAAATGATAAATTAAGGTAACTGAGGTTCAAGTGACAAATGCATGTTGTAGCTGAAAGGATTTGGTCAGTGTTAGCCAAAGAAAAGAAATCTAATTTGATGGGCAGGAGCATCATAGGGAAAGGACCTGTTGAGTTCACTGGGTGTAGGAAGTGATCTGTTGTAAATTTCCCCTTCTACAGAGTTGTAATAGGTTTTAATTTTTTAGGTTTTGATTAAATTTATTTTTAATTGTTCTATAATACAAAATTTTAAAGTTCTATGATCATTTCTATAACATCTTTATTTCCTTTTTTTCACCCACAAAGAATAGAAAATGCTAAGGGGTGCTTTACAGGAAGGAGAAAAAAGAACGATATTTCTTATGAAAAAGGTTGCTTTTCAATTAGTTTCTTGGTTTGTATTTTTAACAAGGACTTGTCATATGCTACAATTATATTGCAGCTTGATCAGGTTGAAAGGAGGGGCATGGAAGGAGGAAATTTTTCTTTCGGTTTCATTCACTGTGCACATTTGGGACCTGCAGTGTTTTTGGAAATCTTATTTAGATACGTGCTCAGGGCTTGAGCTCCTTCAGCGCTGTATGACTGCACATAAAGCATTTTTGTAGCAGGGGTTAAGGCCACCCTCTTTTTATTGCCTTGATCACAAAGCCTTCAGCCTGGTCAGCAAGAGCTTTCCATGGACCACACACTCATTGCTGAGCTCATGGTGTTTAGAGATGAGAACGCCTGTGTGTGACACCCGGCCTGAATGGACGAGACTGGGCTGTGCTGATTGTGGCATATTCCTTAATCGCTGCGGCTTCGTGCTAGTGGGGCAATCTGGGAAGAAAGCAGTATGTAACTTGCCTAAGGCTTCCTACAGGTGGGCAAGGCATTGCATCTCTAACCTCAGAGAGGTGTTGCTAGGATACATGGAGGAATGAGAAATTTGTGTAAAAAAATCCCTTTGGTACCCTCTGCATGCAGGGCTGCTGCAGGAGTTACCTGCCCGATACGAGAAGCTGCAATGGCTCTGTGACTGCCCAAGAATGCTCCTTTCCCCATGTCCTTGGAGCTGCACAGACCACAGAGGCCTTTGTATCCCAGCCCATCTTTGATGACCAGCTGGTGGGTAGGAGAAAAGGGAGAGACACCGTCAGCATGTCTGTGCTTCACTTGGGAAAGGAGGGCTCATCTGTGTGGTGGCACAGACCTTAGAAGCCAGGAGCGGGACCTGCCATGGGTTCCCCTTGCCTACCTCAACCCTGTGGAAAGAAGGGCCAAGGCTTGTGGAGGCACCCACACTCATAAATGCAAGTGTGCCTGCTGGCACACAGCTGTATCCTCTCCCCCAGGACACTGTTAGACTATTTCCTTGAAAAAAATTTGCCACATTCCAGCTACTGCTCTCTTCAGACATCATAGGTGTGATTTGGCAGCCAGGAGAGTCCG